TGAAGAGTTACAAGTAGCTTTTGCAGAAATTAATGCTACAGAGTTTGGAGGGAATTTGAAGGGAAGTAAACAGTTGGGAGTTGTGGAAATGTTAAAAGGTAACGGTTGTGAAGATGTTAAAGAGTAACAGTTGTGGTGTCATAAGAAGGAAGTTTTTGGTTTGATAATAAAACCCAGTTATGGAAATATAAATATATGTTCCACTTGGTACAGTCATATTGGGTGGAACCCTGGTAGTTAAACAAATTATACAAGGGGGTCAGGTGGCTACTACAACCACAGTTTTTGTCCCCAGAAGCCTTTATAGCTATTCTGAAGGAAAACGGGCTCTTTTCCCACAGAAATAGTTTGTAAATATGATTTAATCAAAATCACTAAATAAGTATAAGGAGTTTCCACTGAAACTTGACTGTCTCCGATTGTGCAAGATGGAAATGTAATCTGGATACAGTTGTGGAAAAAAAAAATGAAAGCAATGCAAGGGGTATTAGGCAAAAGAGAATTTGTGTGTGTGTGTAAATATTTTTGTATAATTATGTAAGGTTTTAAGGACCTAAACCAGCACTCATGGTTTGTAAAATCCTGTTTGTAGGTTTAAGATAAATAAGCCAATGCCACTAAAACTCCATTTGAATCTCTCATTCAAAGTTGCAACACTGACAGACCCTTGTGCCAGACAAGTGTGATGTGGCTTTGGTATTTAGCATTTAACCCTTTGGGTACTTCCATGTTTTTATAAAGTTTAATATCTTTTAAAATAAAGACCAGAGAATGTGACCCTGGCTGGGGTAGCCAGAACTGGGAGAATGGGGAGAGATTCTGGATCCATATTTTGGCAATAAATAACAGCTCAGAACTGCAGGAGGGGAACAAAAAGTTAAGACAGTGCACCTCTGAAGCAAAGGTAGGGGTGAAATGTACAAAGAAGCAATGTCATGACATGACATGCTGTTTCTAGGGACTTTATTAAATTGAGTGAAACCTCTGATTATACATATTTTACAAAGCAGGCATATCTATCAAATCTTAGTAATCAAAGAAGTTGGACAGGTGCTGGGCTTTTCTGAAGGTGAGTGTACTTTGAGTACTGAATAAATGATAACCAAATAGCAAAGTATCTATTTGTCCTCTGTCTATTTTGCTGGGTATGTAACTGGTGCATTAATTGTTCCATAACAACCTCCCATATTTTAAACATTCCTCTAGAGTTGGACTATTTGTTTTCCTGTGAGAGGCTACCAGTAGCCTAGCAGCCACTAACAGATAAGAGATTAAGTTTTCATTTTCTTTTATGTGACCATTTCTGCTAGGAATCCATAGGAGAATTACCCAAGGATGATGATAATAATATTTGGTTACAAATAGCATTCCAGTATTGTCTAATGATTTGACATGTCCACCATATATGCATAAAATCTCTTTCTCCTCTATTTCTCCAACACTTACCCCCATTCAATCTCTCTGTATATATATTTTAAGCTTATCATGCACTAGTGTAAGATACCATTGAAAGAGTATCTTAAATAAATTTTCTTCTTTTGTGCTACAGACTGAGATTGCCAGTCTTCTTTTCCAGATCATATCCTATACATCTGGGGTAACTTGTCTGTCCAGATCCTGTTGCCAGCATGTCACACATGAATGGGGGTGGTAGAGGAGGTTGCTTGTTTTGGGAAGAAAGTTGTCTTCAAAGATTGATATAAACTAGTAATAATTTTGTTTCTTAATTAATCTTAATCTTGGATACCATCACTTCTATTAAAGTTGGCTTTCTGTATAAAAAAACTTCCCTTGAAAGTTGAGAAACATAATGTCTAACTTGAAAGTACAGGTGCCAAGGGAGAGTGGGTCAGTTAAAGTTAGTTTTTATCTTTCAATAAGTTAAATAAGTTAGAAAAGTTTCTCAATGGCTGGTCAACTATTTGCATTCCATGGCTCTGCCAATCTTTAAAGTTGTCTGGTTTGTGCTTTGGGTTAAGGTCTGGATTATTTGCAATATGTGTCATGGGCAAGGGAAAAGAACTTGTCTCTAGTGCTAACCCAAACCCATAGAATAGACTTTGCTATGTGTATGAATATCTGGGTGTGTGATATATAATCAATCCATGGTAGCCTACCACAGTTGTTTTGTTCAGTAAAGACCCAATGTTTACCTTGGTTAGAGTACCCCAATCCACTACTGCTTTGAACTGGCAGTGCCATGTAATTAGAACAGCTAGTATACCCTGCACTTACTCTTGGCCTTTCATTATTCCATATAAAGTCTAACACCACCCTCTGTATTCCTGATAAGATTTTATCTGGGATGAATACAGATCAATTTTGAAACAAGAAAGATATCCTTGGCAAAATATTCATTTGGACAGTGGCTGCTCTTCACAACCAAAAAACTGCATGCTTCCCCAAACACTCCAGATCTTTTTTCATTTGCTGAAGCAGTGGTTTGACATTTTAATCATAGAGCTCTTCTAGGTTGTTTTGAGATTTGAACTCTCAGGGATCATATAGAACTTGTTGCCGATTTGCATCCAAAAGTTTTCTGGGAGAATGACTTCTCAGAGTTTGGCAAATTAATAGCTTGCATTTCAAATTTGGGATAATTTACTGTGAATCCAGATGTTTTCCCAAAGTCATGGATTTCTTTCGTTATTAATTTTAGGAAAATGTTTGCGTTAGATAAAAATATTAGATGATAATACTATAAAGTTGTTTTCTGATGTGTTCCTGCAAGGTTTATTCTTTCAGTTTCATTGTTCCTTATCCTCTGGCCATGGAGCCTTTTGCACAATGTAAAAAGTAAACGAGACAGTGAACATTGCTGCCTAGTCCCTCTATGTAACTCAAAGAGGGGGAGCTGTAACCCCATTAACTTGCACAGCTGCTTTTGGTATAAAGAGACTCGCTAGACTCTTTACTGCCCTGAAAGAGGAGAGACTCTTAACAATCCATCCAGCAAGCTGGAGTCATAGTGAGCAACTACCAGACAAGGTGCTAGTTGGTGATTGGCTGAATGAAAAGAAAACTGAGGCAGACTTGCATTAACACTCACTCAGCTTTGGTGGCCATCTGCAGGTAAAAGCAATCCTGGACATGGGCCTTTGATCTAGGGACTCCTTGGGGCTGCAGGTTTTGCAGCTGTTCTGAACCAGCCTTGTATGCCAGGGGTGGGCAACCTGTGGCTCCGGAGCCACATGCGGCTCTTCAGAAGTTAATATGCAGCTCCTTGTATAGGCACTGACTCTGGGGCTGGAGCTATAGGTGCCAACTTTCCAATGTGCCAGGGGGTGCTCACTGCTCAACTCCTGGCTCTGCCATAGGTTCTGCCCCCTCTCCACCCCTTCCTGCCCCCTCCCCTGAGCCTGCCATGCCCTTGTTCCTCCCACTCCACCCCCCCAAGCCTCCTGCACACCACAAAACAGCTGATCAGGAGATGCAAGGAGGGACGGGGAGGGCTGATTGGCGTGTCTGCTGGTGGGTGGGAGGTGCTGGGGCTGGCGGAGCTGATGGGGGGCCTGCTGACATGTTACTGTGGCTCTTTGGCAATGTACATTGGTAAATTCTGGCTCCTTCTCAGGCTCAGGTTGGTCATTCCTGTTGTATGCACATATCTTCTGGAATGAGAGGAGCTCTGGCAGTGCGATACGGACTTCACAAGTTCGCCTCAGTATCTTGCACTGTGGAATTGAGCGCCTAGCTGCACAGCCATAGCACACAATACACTGCTAAATAAAATTACTATGACTATGGTCAGTGAGTGTTCACCATTATGGCTGGAAGCAGCCAGGAAAGAGCATCGTACTTCTGGGGCATTTCCTGGCATGCTGCAGTGAGTGCAATGAGTGAAACTGAAATGTCTGGTTTTGGGTTTTTTTAGAGCTTTCAGCATGCTACTTCCAACAAACCCATGTACCAGCAATGGTGCACATGCCACAGTTTGGGAACCTCTGAACTAGAGCATATGATTTAGACAAACATCCAATTTTGATTTAAAAATTGCCACCACAACCCTTTGTAAATTGTCCAAATGATTCATTACCCTCATTGGTAAACATTTACACCTTATTTCCAGTCAGATCAAAACAAGAATTGTAAGAGGAATCTGCAAAAATTGCAGTATTTCTAGGGAGATGGAAGGTTGCAGTTACTTCATGAAGGTGGCCATGTTTGTGTGAAAAGGATGATTTAAAAAACAAAACAGGAAAAACAGAAGATTTTGATTGCTACTTACTGGCTTGCTACTGCTCTCATTGAAGTCAGTGAGGATTTAACTGCTAACTTCAGAGGGAACAGGATCTAGCATATTAACACTCAATCAGCCACTTCTTTAGCATGAAAGACCGTCTTCTCATCATACACACTTAAATATAGGTTGGAACTTACCTAAAAGTGCTCAAAGTTGATTGTCTTCCCCCACAGATGGTGTCTGCCTTAATGGAATAAGTCAGCTTTCCTGGATTTCATTTTTTTTTAAGTGACTTTTTTAAAAAAAGGTTGGTTCCATTTGTCTGAACCTAATGTTAAAAGACAGCTCAAATGACTTTTTAAAATGTTTCCCTGTGACTGAGTGCTGGTACAATAGGTCTTTAAAAACCCTGTTGAATTTCATTTTATTAGCAAACAAACACTTGCCAAAAAGCTGTTTCAAAAGTTTCTTTTTATATCCGTGTTAGAACAAAACTCTCCCCATGAAATCTGAAACCAGACAAGTTGAGTTCTGATACTTTGTTACAAATCAAAATTCAGGGTAGTTTTCTGAAAGGTTTATGAACCTTCTGGAGAGTTCAGGTCCAAATTTTATTGGTCATGAGCAGATTTATCAAAGAGTTGGGCAAATAATAGATTTTTTTTTCAGTTTGCTGGCTGAAGTGAAAAATTGGGGGAAAATATACAAAAAACCCTTCCAAATTGACCCAAAACAAAATTGTTTCCTTTTTCTTGGCAAAACAGAAAACTGAAAAAGTTCATGTTGGAGCAAATGACATTTTTTGTTTTGATTTTAGGCATTTTTAAACAAAGGAAAGGACATTTGGAAATAACATTGACAAAAGAAGAGGAAGAGGAGGTGGGTATATATCTGTCTATAGACCTACAGTTAGTGAACTCACCTAGGATGTTTGAGACCTAGGTTCAAGTCCCCACTCTCCCTGATTTAGAGTAGAGTTTTTAACATGCATCTCCCATAAAGTCGTGAGCACCTAACCAGTGGGTTATACAGTAATCTGGGGTAGGTCTTTCTCAGTGTCTTCTATGGAACTTGTATATAACATACATAAATAGTCACTGGAGCAGGAACTGGAACTCCAGTGTCCACTCTCCCACATGAGTACCCTTAACTATCAGGCTCTAGAGTTATTCTAACTCTCTCTGGCCCAATAAGCCACCCACCACCACTTCCAGTGGTTTTGTGAATAGCACCTATGGTCACATCTATAATGCAAAGAAAAACCCACAGCAGAGAGTCTTAGAACCCACGTCAGTTAACTCAGGCTCTCAGGGCCAAGGCTATAGAGCTAAAAATAGTAGCGTAGATGTTCCCTGAGACCCTCCCCACTCGCTGGGTTTTAGAGCCTGAGCTCCAGCCTGAGTGAGAAGGTCTACACTACTATTTTTAGCTCTGCAGCCAGACCCCTGCAAGTCTGAGTCAATTGACCCAGGCTCTGAGACTTGGTGCTACAGGCTTTTCTTTGCAGTGCAGACATACCCCAAGTCCCCTTGTGAATCTATGCCCTCCTCCCTCAAATTTTTCTCTGAAGCTATTTGGCAGATTTATGTCAAATTTACAGTTTCAGTGGATCAGAAACTGCATGTTTTGGCAAATAAACTGTTCACTTGAAAAACTGAACCTAGGTCTGTTCATCTCTTCTGCCTCATAGGTAGGTGGAAGTCAGCACACCTATTTGAACTAAGGTCAAAAGTTCATGTGAACCAAATTAGCCACACTTTCCATAACTCTGAGTGCAGTGCTGGGGACCAGTGATTATCTCCTAATAAAAAGTCACATCTCTGAGAGACCTAGTTAAGATGGATAAGCCACAGTATAGATGGTGCTAGGTTGATGGAAGAATTCTTTTGTCAACCTAGCTACCACCTCTCAAAGAGGTGGAGTCAGGGCCGGATTATGACATTTTGAAGCCCTAAACTATGCCAAGTGTAAGAGGCCCCATACCATAAAAAAAATGAATTTATTATTTTCACAGAAAGGACATTGGATATATAAAAACAAAAGCTTTATATCTGCTTATATACAAAGGTGAAGTTGTAAAAATAGAATAATAATCTTCATTTTCAGCAGCCCTCTCTGTAATGATGACATCATGACAGAAATAAATTTTAGACAAATTCTTTGAACTAATTGCCTATGTAAGTAAAGTAGAAGTAAACAATACAATATAAAAAAATAAAAAATAAAGTAAATAATACAATTTACTAGAAGAGTTCTGAGGAAATTTTTCTTCTCTATTGGGGCATCTAAATTGTGGAATTCCTTGTCTAAATACGCAATGAGACTCTGAGAGGATATAAGATGGCAATAGAGGATACAAGAGGCAATAGAGGATATAGGATGCAGATAACCCACAAGCTTAAAGCTCAGCTATTACTTGTATAGATATGAATTACACCCAGGTAATAAGCAAACCATCAGAAAATCGTATGTGAATTGTATTTTTCTAATAAATTGATTTGTTTTGTTTTTATAGAAGGTTATGCTGAATTACCTAAAATTAGTAGCAGAAAGTGTTTATTGAAACCAGTAAAAAAAAATTGTATATTATAAATATTGAGATGTATATATCTATACAACAAATAATATTTTATATATATATTATATAATTTAGATGCCCCAATAGAGAAGATACTCTAAATATACAATTATTTTTATATATATATGCCAAAAACCTGTGTTATTTTACTAGGATATTTCTGTGAAAGTTAGTGCTATTTTGTCTGTGTTCTCACAGGAAAACAAGAGAGGATATATAATTTTTTTACACCATGAATAAGGAAAATTATCCTTCTTTTCATATGAATAAATGAAAAAAGTTTGATTAATTTTGTTAGGGAAATACAAAATTTATCCAGACTATACATAAAATATATTTACAAATTTTTATTCCGATTTAATTTTTGCTACAAAACAATGAATTGTTTGGATTTTTCTTTTGCCATACTATACAAATATAATGTATTATGCATATGGTATGTGATTTATAAGTCTGTATAAGAATTTTTACTTAGCATACTACCTATAATAAAATATCTGGCGCACTCCAAACCCACCAAGCAGAAAATCCTAGTCTTTTTTCTAGGCAGACATCTCTCTTCGCATTTGTTTCTCTATCCTTTGTCTCCCTGTGACGGGGCAGGTATGGCCAGCACTGGGACTGTGGGGATTAACCCCTCACTGTGGGCTAAGGAAGCCACACCCCCACAGCTCTACGGGGCATGCTCAAAGTGCAACACCAGTATAAGAGGGAGCAGCCTGGCTCAGTCTGGGCAGACTGCTGTAGGGGAAGGAGGTGTGCTGCTGGCCCCTGCTGAAGGGGCATGGGCACTTCACGATGTGGAGGCCAGCCAGTTGACAGCAACCCTCAACCCCCAGGGGCTGGATGCGACTGAGGGCGAAGGAACCGAGGGAACTAGGAAGCCATGAGATGTGGAGAAACGGGTAGGAAGTAACCCAGGGAGTCTTTGCGGGGAGCTGGTTGGACAACTGGAGGCCAGCTCAGCATGTTTCGACTGAATCCCCGCTAAGCTGGTGGCAGGCAATCCTGCCACCGACAGGGCCCTGGGTTGGGTCCCAGCGGAGAAGGAGGGCCTGGGTCCCCCTATCCTGGCTGCTGGTCCCCCCACCCCCCGAGGTGACGGCCCATCCTGACTCTAGCCGCTGGGCCACACGACCCTGAGCCTGGGGGAAGCTATTGACTCTGATCACTCTACTGCACAGCCCCGCCTGGGTGTGCGCAGGAATGACCATGGGCCCGACCCATGACAACTTGGTGCAGAATGCGGGTAACAATTCGGGCCTGGGGGAGGCCCATTGAAAGAGAGGCCTGCTACAGCCATCCCTCTTCTTTCCCCTGTTTTTTTGTGTGGCCATTTTTCCTTTTGGCCATGAGAGCCCCCTAGTGACCTATGTGAATGGAGGCTGAGAAGGTCCTAAAATGGCTGCTGGAGAGCCAGCAACAGCAGGCGGCCCCGCAGCAGCAAGTGCAGCCTTTGCAACAGCTGGTGGTTCAGCAGCAGCAGCAATTGGCCCAGCATCAGGAACAGCAGCAACAGCTACTATGGGAGGTGTCTGCCGTGCACCAGGCCCAACAGGAGCACCTGATGCAACAGGTGGTGACATTATGGAGGCCACCCCCCCCACACACACCGGAGCCCATGCTGGCGTGTTAGGAGCCGCAGGGGGGCCTGACGAGACTACACCTGACCAATATGGGGCCTGGTGACGACCCAGAGGCATTTCTGGTCACTTTTGAAAGGGTTGCCACCACAGCGCACTGGCCAGGGGAACACTGGGCCACCTTCCTGGTGCCATATTTGACTGGCTCCATGCAGACTGCCGATTGCAATCTAGACCTGCAGGATGCTTTAGATTACCAGAAGGTCAAAGCAGCTATCCTGGATCAGACGTGCATCTCCCCCAGAACTTACCCACTGGGGGCTTGCTCCAGGGCGGGGGCCCAGAAGCTACGGGACTACTGTTGGTGCTGGCTGGAGCCAGAGAAGTACATAGGGGATCAGGTGGCTGAAGTGGTAGTGCTGGAGCAAATCACGCAGATCCTCCCCTCCAGAGGGAGGGAGTGGGTGAAACGTCATCGCCCGACCTTGCTCTCGGAGGCTGCCACCCTCATGGAAGACTACCTGGCTGCTGAAGGGTTGGAGGTGCGAGGTAAAAGGTCCAAGACCCCCAGGGACTCAGGCCAACCTTTGGAGCGAGTCACCCGCCCGCATGAGCCAAGGGCTGTAAGCCCCCCACCCCGTCCGATGACTGCTGGGGGGGCGCCTGCCAGAAAACAACAGGCATAGAAGCCCCGCCCAGTTATTGACTCCGTCCACTCTACTGCGCAGCCCCACCTGGGAGTGCACAGGCATGACCGTGGGCCTGACCCATGACATTCCCCAGGGACCATTAATTAATCTTGAGTAAACACCTTGGACACAGAGTGACAACAAGTTATATGTGCGAAAGAGAGAGAAAGAATTTACCAGAAAAGACTTGTAATCTCCAGACAGACATTGAGAGAGGCTAGTTTTTCCTCACTATATTCAAGCAAATATAATGAATATTATAGTCTTTAATAGCCTATCATATATGCACCTAGTTTGAAATAACTTGGTCACCAAGTACTCAGAATATTTTGATATATATGTGTCTCTTCCTTCACTTCTCTCAAAATTCTCTATTTATCCTTTTGTCAGCACTCTCTGATGTTTACTAAGAAGGTTCCCAAAACTGGTGGAGGGAAGCCAACACAAATTTATCCTCGTCAAGATCCACTCAACCCAAGTCCATAAGATGATCCCCTACAAACTCAATCACGTGAAGCATGGATCGTGCATGAAGCAGAAAGTGGCATGCGCACTAAAATACACAATTGTATGTATGTACAGATCAAAAGAAAACAGAACATACTAACATACGAGTATGAGCTTGGTTGGATTGCTTCACAACACAGCTGTCTCCGACCTCACGTTTTTCCCAAATTTATGGGCAGTCAGATTATTTATTTATTTAATAAGTTATGAAGGCATGGTCAGAATTTTACCAGTAGCAACTGATAGCAGACTTACTTGTAGAAATACTAATTTTACAAGTGCAATTATCATTTTTTTTCTCAGCCCTGGCCTCCTGCCTGTCAATAATGAACTATTAGTGAAGGGTAAGGGTATTTGTGTAGCCAGATGTGTATATTTTTGTTGTATTTGAACGAAAATGTCTATATTTCGAGAGAACCTTATTTTTCCCATATCTCCTTTATTTATTAACTGATTTTGATAAAATTTGAAATGGAATCAGGTTTTTTTTCTTCTTTAGAGGCCCCTCATATTGTGAGGCCCTAAATTGTAGCTTAGTTAGTTTATATCTTAATCTGGCACTGGGTGGAGTTACTACAGCAATAGAAGAACCCTTCCCTTGTCTACACTACAGCAATGTATCCACAGTGCTGCAGCTCTGTCGCTGTAGTGTTTCTAATGTAAACATCCCCTACGCTTTCTGCACATACATTGCAGTGTGTGAAAAGGGCAAGTGATACCCTAAAGAACCTTCTAGAAATTTCCCTGCAGATAAGCTCTCCTGCATTATAGACATTACAATGGCTTCCTTCTCTGTGCTCAAGAACTTTGGGAGGCAGAGTCTACTTTTTGAGAAGTGTACAACAGCATCTACTGTGTCACTGAACTGAATAAATCAAAGCACTGCGACTCCCTGTATTTGCTGATCACCACTATTGATTAACCAGCATCATTCAGCTGAAGCAGTCAAATAGCAGAGCTTTGCATGCTAGTAGTTCCCTTATGAGTTATTTCAGCGTACTACGTGTCCCAGCTGTCAGGCCCAGCTGTTCATTATCCCAGGACAGAGCTCTCAGAGGAGCCATAGGAAGTGTGCTAAAAGCCCTGAGGCATATTATGGTGCCCTCATTTTCCCTCCAGAAAGCGCCTGTGTGTTGATATAGGTCTACATAGGCTTAAAAATGTTTTTTATTAAGATTTTTGTAGTGTATTTAAATTGAAGCCTCTGTAAAACCTGGATTGCTTGATATTTATAGTTAACTAATATTAGAAATGGGCTTAAGCTACACAATCTAGCTTTGGATTCATATGTCTAATACTCCAAGATTGGTGGGGAGACAAGAGGGAGAAGTTCTGATATTGAGGTTTTGCCTTGGCCAGTTATTTATAAATGTAGGGGTTCTGTTCAGAATCAGATCCAGATTTGGATAGGGATTTCACTCCCCCAGAATTTAGGCTCGTTTGCTAATTATTTTATGGTATTAAAATGGAATTTGAAACCATCATTGAGATTCCATTAATCTGGAGCAATTGAAAGTATCTCTTATTATATTTACCAGCTGATGTCATTTATTTTAAGAAGCTCTTTGCAAGCTGTATTTCTTTCTGTTTGCTTCTACCCCTCTTTGGCCCCAGTTCAGCAAAGCACTTAAGTATGTGCTTAACTTCAAGTCCATCTCTATTCAGGAAAACACTCAGGTCAGTGTTTAAGGTTAAGCCTTCATATTTCCTCTCCCTCCCTCCTTAACAAAGACAGAAACATTCTACTATTATGCTGTGACTCTGCTCTAGGAGTTTCCTGCTGGAAGGCCTAAGGAGAAGGTAGGGCTTTATAAAACCCACTTCTTTCTGTCTTCCCTAGGCATTACGATGCCCTCAAAATTTCATGAGCTGCTGCTCATATACTGAAAATTGATTCAGGCTTCAAAGTGGTACAAGTTGGAGGGGGCGAATGGTACAAATTCCTTTCATGAATCCCGGCCACATAGTAAGCAGAGTTACTCTTTGACACTGAACGCGAAAGGACCTTTGGTTTAAACCTCCTTATCCTGACCTATGTGTTAGTGCTACAATCAAAATGAATTGGAGGTTTCCAAAGTGCAAGTTCAATGAACTATACCTTACTGGAGTAAAAGTGAAACTTCTAATCTTTGCTCCTGTCCAGGTAGGAGGGGGGAAGCTCTTACCAAGTATCTAAATCTTAAGGAACAGGGATAATTGTGGAGCAGTGCGGGGAGTTTACCCTGATAGCTGCTGGAAAAACTAGGTCAGCAAAAGATAAAGCAAACATTGAATTGCATGCATCATAACTGTTTGTTTCAGAGGATGTGGAAGCAACTGAGAGTGCGTGTGTTACATGTGATAATGATCACATTCAATTTAAGGGCTTGTGTGCATGAGAAAGTTGCACCAGTTTGACTCTGGTATGATTTTTTTTTTTAAGCGATTTAGTGTGGACACTTACTTTAGTTGGAGTAGTTTATTTTTGGTTACCTTAACCTGCTCCTGATTGATTTAAGCTAAACTGAAATAAGCTTCTTTAAACTGCTCTAAGTTCAGTATATTTAAACTAAACACTGCCTTGACTAAATTGGTTTAAAATCGTTTCCATTAATTAAGCCAGTGCAACTCTGCATGTAGACAAGCCCAGTTTTCCTAAAGATATTTCCCTCTGTCATGTCACTGAAGTTCATATTTTATACCATGAACAGTCTTGTACTTTAGATAAAGTTATGTTGCCCTCTGGCCATGGAGATCAGTTAAAATCTGTTCGTATTAGGTGCTCACTAGTATTTTTCTGGAGAGATGGCCAGGTTTTTCCTGGTGAGCGTAGTCTGGTTAAGTTCTCCATTGTTCTGCTTCTCTTATGACAGTATTTGTATTGTATTGTGTAGCACCTGTGAGTCACCGTCCTGCAGCAGAACCCCATTGTGCTAGGTGCTGTGTGCACACAGTAAAAAGACAGTGTCTGCCCTAAAGTGCTTACAATCTAAGGACAGGACAAAAGACAATAGGTGGAAAGAGAGAGAGAGACCAGTGTGGGAATACACGGAAACAATAAGATAATATTGGTCAACATGCTAGACAATAGTATTAGCACACCAGCAACCTAACAGGATTTGTAGGCAACACAGCAAAGGAGGCATTTAAAGGGGGAATCTTCTCTGCATTAGATGTTTACATGGAATGTAACTTAGTCAGTTTTTCTTCTCTACTTCCAGACCCTTGTGCACCCTGTGTTATGTTTACCTGTCAATACAATGGTTATTTTTTCTACCACTTTTACCTATGCTCAATACAGAGGTAACTGGGTGAAATATAATGGCCTGTGATTATCAAGACATCAGATTAGATGGTGTAATGGTCAGTGCTTCCAGTGGGCTGAAAAAAAAGTGGAAGGTCTCTCATTTTCTACAGAAATGAAAGTGACATCAAATCTGCCTGCCCATTGCAACCCCCACATCTGTTCTGCCTGCCCCACCCCCAGTCTTTGAGTATCAAAGTAGCACAGGAGATTTAGACACACATCTCACATTCATTATAATGAAAAATGTGTGACTAAATTTCCTGCACTGTTTTAAAAACCTCAGCATTTAACTCTTGGTGACTAGCTTCCTTCCAAGAGAGAATGTAATTCTTTCATCTAAGAGAATCTCATTACTAAATGCTGAAACAAATAAACCCCTTATTAAAGTATCCCCCTTGCATATGTTCATTTTCAAAGTCCTTCAGGTTTTGTTTGATTATTTTGTTTTGTCCATCTTCTTATCTGATACCTTTTGGATCCCCTTCTAATTTGAGCACAAAGTCTCAAGTCCAGTAAGGGAAGCCTGGCATCTACTCATTGCAAGTCACATGTGTGGTAGAATTGGCAGAGAAGTGGTTTTATCATTGCTCTCTTATCAATTCTGAACATTCTCCTCTTAACATGACCCAAGCTGAGGGAAGCAGAAAAACGTTTACTGTACATTATGCATTTGTTAACGCAGCATAATGGACACAGTGGGGAGTGTGTCTCATTGTTTGTTCCTGTAAAGCAGTAATACACAGACTGTGGATCTCAAACTGCAAGTGGCTCTTTAATGTGTCTCCTGCAGCTCATTGTAGCACATGATATTAAAACACGGTGGGATTGGTTAATAATTAAATCAGGATGATTTTACTATATTAACCAATTGTAGTTGACAAAATAATACTTGGCCAACCATTTTTCTGTGAGAATAATAGATAAACTAAATATTTTGCCTGTCATATTGTTTAAATATAAATATATAGTACTATAGTAAATGAAACAATGCATTCACACTACTGTGGCTCTTTTGGGTAATGTTGATTGCTGATTTGGCTCCTAAACCACTGAGGTCTGAGTATCACTGCTGTAAAGTATGGAAATAAGAAAAACAAAGGAAAACATTTCAAATCAGAGGACTAAGCATACCCCACCTATTATATTGTGTCCACATTGCCTGGCTTTAAAATACAATATTCAGATTGTGGAGAGAGCAAAGAGGTGAAAAACAAAGTTAATCCATGGTTTAGAAAGCTCTGGCTTAGGATAGGTTAAGCAGGGGATAGACTGGAAGACAGAAGACTGAGGTGATCCCATTATAGTTTTCAGGCACCTAAAGGGGACATACTAGTGTCCTGGGTGTTCCTTGTTCTATCAACAAGCCAGAACTTAATGCATGATAATGTTTGGAAGCTAGCTGTGGAAGGAAGGAGTTAGTCCAGATATGGTGGTGGGAGGAGCTTGTTCTCACAGCATTTGATTGGACTTCAGAACATTCTGTAAAGCAAGGAACAGCAGTGAGTCTGCCACCTCTTAGTTTAGGGTGAACAGACATGAGCGTGCATGAGAATGAAGAATGGAATATCTGATAATAGCAGCATATCAGATTATCCTACAATGGTGGTCATTAAAATATTTACAATTATTTCAAAGTAATTAGCAGGTTATTCATGAGATTCCCTATTAGTAGAGGGAATAGCATGGTAATGTTAATTAGAAGGCTAAATAGTAAAGAGGTTGATGTCAACTACTTTAATCATAGAAATTAGAGAGCATGAAAAAATATTGTATTAAGTCATTTCACCCATCCCCGGGACATTGTACTACAGCAGAATTGTTCTCTACTGTAAATTTCTCTACTAATTTATCCACTCTAGATTTAAATGATGCAAGTGACTAGGTTTCCATCACTTCTCTTGAGAGCCTTAAGAAAAGACCTGAGCTCTGACCTCAGAACAGGATACTGTTTTTGAAAAAGGCATGGCTTTCAGAAAAACAGGCTAACACCTTTGAGTACCTAAGCAGTCTGAACTCCACATTAAAGCAGACAGTGGTCATTGTTTTACAGAAAACCTACCAGTGAAGTCAATGGTGTGTGGGGGTTGGGATCAACTTCTACCCGCTTCACCAAATGTTTAGCACAGCATCCATCAGTCATCTGCTTTGAATGCAATAAGAGTGAACTGAATAAAACTGAAGAAGCATTTCACAGACCTGAAAAGAGCAAGTTTTGCAAAGAAATATCTAAGCCACTGGGGTCCAACACCTGCTCCCTGGGCCAGATCTTGCTATCTAATAGTATTTATCTCACCCCCAGGGCAAATCCAGGTTCTACAGAATGCAAGTTTTTGTCTTTTAAAAGATAAGGGCCGGCTCTCCAATTGGTGTAAATTGGCATAGCTCCATTGAAATCTATGGAGCTACACTCCCTAACACCAGTTGAGGATCTGGCTGTCAGTTTCTAGCCAGGAGGGGAGTGAAGAAAACGTTCCCAATGTAAATGAAGAGCAATCAGTGCAAAACCTGATGTGGCCTTCCAGAGTCTACAAACAAAGCTATTCCAGGTTGTGATGTGATTTGCCCACATTCTTTTCAGTGGTATATTAACTCTTAAGTCTAGTGTTGGCACCTTATGAACTTGACTTTCAAATAATTAGGTGCACCTAATTTCTACTGTTACTGCGACGGCATGTGAAAATGGTTTAGCAAACAAAGAACAGAGATAACAGTAGGCCTAAAAGTTCCTTGTCACTTTTTCCCACTGAAGTAATCTGAATGTGACATTACTAACTAAAACTTTAGTTACCACAAGGGGCCAAATTCAACCCACAGTCACTGCATGAACTTCCCATTAATGTCAGTGGAAGATCTGTTGTGGACTAAAGAGTAGTGAGTAGTCCCTAACTTTGTAGATCTTGCCCATAAACCATATTTGATGTAATTTATACTTCACCAAATGTGTTTTACAACCTCAGTTTAGACCGTGTATTAAAGAGACTTCAGTGTACAATTTGGACTCACAGATTTTTTGTCCTAGATTGTCTAAAACCATGCTCTGACTGGCCTGTTGGGATGTTGATGATGTTCCAGCCATATGCCATCTCTCCATGGTGCATAGGTGGGACCCTTAAGCCCGTAATCCCCATGCCTAGACACCACTGTGATGGGGTCTTTGTACATAACTAGATAGAGTAACATAACCAGTACAGTAAATAAATATCAAAAAGAGGGGGAAATTAATATTTAGTATCTTTCTGTTTCCTTTTAAGATGTGCAAGGATTTTCCTTGGTAAATATTTTACAATCATTGGCTGCCTTCATATTAGTGGTGGGTTTAGTCTGAGTGAATACATGCACACAGGAAAAATCTCTAGCATAATGTTCTTCTACGATTAGCTAACAATTGGTGGAGAAACTCTCTTATGGGACTGCAGAAGGGAACAGTTTTCCCTTCCCACTTCGGAGTTCATTGGAAGAGTCAGAAATGAGAACTCAGTCCCACACCCCTCCCCAAATCCAGTCCAAGGAATTTATCATATTCCCTCAATATAAAGGAACTAATTGCTTATTTTTCAGGCTATTAACCCCTGTGCAATGTGTAGATGACCTCCTAGTGTGTTCTCTAGTTGTTGCTGCTGCAAACACAGCAGGAAAGTATTTTGCTGCTGCTGCTGCTAAATCTGTTGCCATATTTTCCGTGGCACAATATTTAGACAAAGCTCTCTCTTGTTCTTGTTTTTTTTAATAAAAGAGAGAACTTCTGCTTTGGCTGCTTTGCCAATTTTCTCTTCAGAGCCCCCCTCAACTGAGCCATCTCCTTCAATGAATGACTCTTTGCTATTTCTCAATCGTTCTTCTTTTCCAGAAAAGGTTTGCTCCACAAAACAAGCAACCACCCAGAAAAGCCCTCTCACCATTGTTTCTGTTCAACCCAAGCTTCCCTCAGCCCTTCTCAGGAACTTCTGCATTAGAACAATCACTACCTGTCCTACAGCCACAGCCTGCAGCAGGGCAACCGTGCCAGTGCTAAGGCACTAGTGGAGGTCTCTGGGGGAGAGCAGGTTTGCACGCTGCTGTAGTAAAAGCCCCTAGGCAATGCTGGCTCAAAAAAATGTGACGTTCTGAAGTTGTTCCCATTTCACAGGGTTCAGAGTGGAACAATTTTGTTTTTTTTTCTAATTTTTTGAAAACTATTTTTAAAACAGTTCCAGCATTTCAGATTTTATATTTCTTCCGCCTCCTGCCCCCCTTTTTCACTTTTTGCAATACACTGAATATTATCTAGGGTTGTTGTGTGGGTATTTTGTTGGGTTATTTTGTGGGGGCAGAGGGAGGGCTTTTCCTTTTTCCACCCTAATTTTTGAAAACTTCCTCAACTTAGAAAAGCTACAGAGTGGCAAAGTTACAGGGTTTTAGTTTTCCTCTTGCCTCACTAATATTTCCAAAGTCAAATGTCTGTGTCTCCATATCACAAGTTCTGCCTGGGCTGCATTTCCATTATAGCCACCCAGCATCTGTTCTCAACCCCTCTCATGCACAACAGTTATCACTGTTTCAGAAAGTGGTGAAAAAGCAACCCTCCCAACTCTCACTCATGTAGAAGAAAACACCTCATTTTGGATTCCCTTTTAGGCAGTTTTAAGTAATCTTACTCGTTTAAATATTTGGGCCATGATCATTTTAATTCTCTTGGAGCAGCGTTGCAGACCATGAAGAAGGAAGCACATCTTATTGCTGGAGCTCAGATGGACCACGATTGTCAATGACCTGGTGATAATTATAAAATTTAGTCTGGGCATAACAAAGAGCACATAGGCTGCACACACTATTGAAGGCAATGCTCCTGGCCAAGGATTAAATGTAGCTGGACCAATACAGTTAGCCAGCACCACTGTCTGAGTACAATTAATTACTAGTTAATATATTAGTTAGTTAATATATATGAGACAAACTGCTCTCTTAAAACCTGTTCCTTCTGTTTTGTTGATGGTTGGGCTTTGGGGCACTATTGCTGCTGCTGTTCATCACACAGCTCTTTTCATCAGCGTTTCCAATGGAGCAACAGTGCCAACTAGTGTCTGCTTAGCTGAGTCTGAAAGCAGTGTAAAAACCCAGCCCCAATGACACTTTCATGAAAGATAGAGGGACTCTTGTGTTGCCTGGGCAAACTTGGAATGGGGTAACAAAATACTCTGGTACTTGCTGGTTTTTAGAAGCCACTTCTCTTTTTGGGTGGGAGGTGGGATTATCAACTCTTTCCCTAAGAAAAGTTGAGCCCCTTTCCTGGGCAGATTTCACAAAGCAATGTAACACCTGGTACTTGTTATTTCATGGCTCTCTGCCTCCACTTGCTGTAATGACTCCTCTGCTCTCCCTCTCTCAACAGTTGCTTGGAGGCAAGAAAGTCTCCTCCTTTTCTAGCCTACTGCTGTCTCGAAGAGAGGGGAAAATGGCTCTGGGTATAACCTCCAGCCGAAAAGGAAAGTGGCTGTTGGATGGCATGGGGGTGACTCCAATGGCACAGAACTCTGCGTTGGAGGCAAATCTCACACTAACAAGTGGGAGAGAAGACAGCTTGCATCTACACCCAGCAGGAGAGAGAAGCTTGGTCTGGGTTTTACTTTTCAGAAGAATCCATTCCAAAGCTTTACTGGTCTATAAAGACAGGGGGGCAGAACCTCAAGTGACAAGCAATTGAATCAACTGATTGTATACAATATTACTGTATTATCAACGTGAATAAAGTGAGGTCTTTTCTGAAAGCTAACAACACACTGCTGATTAATATCATTGTGAAATGTATGTATTAACACTATATAAAGAATTATGAAAACTCATTGGTATGAGGCGGTACAGTTTGCCCAGATAGAAGGGAATGTCTCCAGTGTAAAACTAAGCATGGTGGAATCAGAAACAATGGAAGCCCCATTTACATAGAAATCATACAGGGGGATGGGAAGCCCACAGGAAGGGGAAAACATCATGAGGTCACCAAAGTTCATTGGATTCTGGGAGATATACACTAGGACAGAAGCCATCTTTGGCATCCATTTCTAGACAGACACAAGAGAACAGAACCCTTGCAAGCCGAGAAAGAGGATCCTTCAACTAAGTGGGGGGTTTGAAGTCTCTAAAACTGAATATAGGTGAGAAACCTACTTAGGCAAGGATCTTTCATCTGAGAAGACAAAGGAAGGCAGCACTTTGTGCTTTTGTGGAAGGTTCTGACTGAAAGAAAGTCAGCCACGGCTGGGAAGAATGACTGGTGAGAGAAATGATCTTGAACAAAGCTTGTATCTTGCTAGATTAAATTTTAGATTTTTAGAAGCGTGTTTCGTTTTGTTTTACTTGTGACTCTCTCTACCTTCGTTCCTTATACCTGAACTCACTTAATCTGATGTATCTTTTGTTAATAAATTTATTTCATTTTTACCACAAACCAACTCAGTGCTGGGGTTTTTGTATTTGCCCCGCATTAAGTTAATAAGCTGTGACATGTTTTTGTGTCTTTTAAAGGAGCAAATGAACCTTTTTATTTCTCTGAACTGGCCCGGAGAAGGCTGGACATTGCAAAGCACAGTGTTTGGGGAAAATACCAGATTGGGAATGTGTTGGGGTCACCCGGCAATTAGTAACCAACTCTGGTGGAAACCAGAGAGGGGCTTCAGGGCTGTACACTGGCTGCTGGGGTCAGAGTTGCTGAACCAGAGCTATCTAGCACACTAGACACTCAGGGTGTGCCTGCATATTGTTAGGCTATTTGTGAGCAGCCCAGGTTGGGAGCTACAGCAGTAAAGCATTGTGAAGCACTCAAAGTTACAGGGCAGGCAATGACGCAAGCCCTCACTGGTCTGGATTGCCCCCGCCAGAATGTGACAATGTGCCTCTTTGTTTTATAGCTCACTTGCTTCAGATGATGTTGGTAGGTAAGGCTTGAAATCGATGGTGACTACTAGTTAGGGGGGGTTAGGATCATCACTACAGACGTTTACATTCAGCATCCTCTTAGCTTCAAAATTGCTAAGATGGAAAGCTGTTGACAGTTTTTCATGGGTCTGAGCTGCCAATACCAAAAGTAGTTTAATGCTTTCCCTGACTACCCCTTTGTCAAACCACCTGGTTTCTTTCTCCACTGAAGACGGTGGATAACCATCAACAATATTAAGATCTTACATGGAAGATGCACGCACCTGATGCACAAATGGAAAATCAAGGATTCTCCACCATGTAAATGCAGAGACCTCCAAACCATCAAACACATTGTGAATAAGTGCCCCCTCTTTTCATTTCCAGGAAGCATAGCAAAGGTCCATTCTGCATCTCCTGAAGTCCTCAAATAGATTTCAAACCTTTCTATTCACATGTAAAATGTTGCTATTTCCATATGAAAGCAGCAGCAGAAGAATATTTTCCTTACAATGATGATAATTTACTCTTATCTGCTAGGCCTATTGCATGGTTTAGGCCAGAGTTGTTCCTGGAAGCTACCCAGGTACCCTAACAGAGGTAAACAGGGCATAACTAGGTGGAGGCACTGCCAACTGTCATTCTTCCCATGAGAAGAGAGCTGCTGCAGATGGGTGGATAGAAGAGTCCCACCCATCCAACCATTGCTGGGACCTCCCCAGGATCTTCATTATCCTCAAGAACATCAGGCACCCAGTCAAGAGGTGAACAGTTGCCTGCTCCTAGGTGATCCGGAGAGAAGAGCGGGTTACAATAACTATGGATTTATTCACCCTCTTTAGTTCTTGTTCCACAGCTGCTGAATTTGGAGGAGTTTCTGAGATACCAAATTCCATGTGGCTCCCTCATCCAGCCATGTGGACTCAGAGGAGGAAAAGTAAGAACTTCCAGGGGTGTAGAAAGCTCCAGGAACTAGATAGTTTACCTGAGCTCTTGTGTCCTGCTGATGTCAGACTGGCTTTCAATTTGCTGATTGGCTGGTTCCTCTGAGTTCCTTCCCTTTCTCCCAATGTACCTCACCCATGCTCTTTGCTCTTCATGCTCTTCTCCACCTTCAAACTCTTCTTTTCTCTCTCACCTTCCCTTCCCTTCCTGTGCAAGGTCCCTCTCCTCCTCCTTTTGCCTTTTCTACTCCCTTGCTGCTAATTAACTCCTCCCTTCCCCCCTCCCCCTCCAAACCCCATAACCCATTAGCCAAATAATTTGAATCACAAACAAAAAACAGAAGTAGAGAAGACAAAACATTAGGGCTGATCAAAAAATTAGAATTATTTTCCATGGAATCGTTTTAATGACGCAAAACATTGTTTTCTCATTCACGATTTTTTGTGAAATTTTCATTTTCCAAATTAAATTAAAATCTTTGATTTAAATTTTCTAGTCAAAACCATTACCAAGACTTTCTTTAGTTCCCCACTTCTCTTCCTTTTTTCCTAGCAAAAAGCGGGGAAAGCACACAGTAAAAATCTGCAAAGCCACCATCTTGTTCTCCTCAAGTCCCATCTCAAAACCCATCTCTGCTGTAATGCATACAGGAAATTGAAATTTGGGAATGGTTTAGGCAGCTGGCATGTTGTGGTGCCTACTGTTGAATGGCTGAGAATCATGCACACCTTATTACATCTGTTACCCTGTCTTTTCTACACAACAACTTAGCACACTTGTTTGTCTCATCTACCTGTTACATCTTGACTTTTAGATTGTCAGCTCTTGGACAGTGACTGCTATTTGTTTTTACAGAGTCTAACAAAATGGGAGCCACACTGGTTGTGGCTTTGGGTGCTACATACAGTATAAATAGTAAATAATGAGATAATGAGCTATTTGGAGCTGGGACCATCTCTTATGTGTTTGTACTGTGCCTAGCATACTAGGGCCCCAATTTCCAGTGGGTGCTACTCTCTGATTAGGTAATGGATTTAAGAGGTTCCAGGTGAAGGGGGTACATACTTTTCTAGATTTGGGGAACTCTATAGACCTGAATAGACAGTCTGAGACCTAAGACTGCAGTGTTGCCAACTCTTGTGATTTTGGGTACATTACTTAAATCTCCAGCTCCTGAAATCAAGAGATTGCAAGAGAATCTTAGCTTTCATTTTAAAAAAAAAAGTAAGTCTTTAGTGGCCTTGGTTGCAGAGAATAGTTTGAAAATGTGAAGCAAGTGAAATCTAAAGGCTCAGAAACCAGAAAGCAAATAAAAAGAAACCAAAATGTATTTTTTAAAAAAACCTCATAATTTGGGGGGGCGGTCCTTGTGACAAACACCCCAAGGGAGAATAGGGGGCCTGCACCCCCACAGAATAAGCAGTTGAATCAACTGTTTGTATACAATGTTACTGTGTATGAAAATATGTCAGGTAAGGTCTTTTATGAACGCATGTAATGTCCTGAACACGCTGGTCATTAGGAGCTGTATATCCAGGTTATGGTTATGAATGTATGTGGGTATATATAGAACATCGTAATTGCAGCTATGGTGCAACTGCAGCAGCATCTCAAAACGGGGTGGGGGAAGCAAGCAGGTAGGGAGGGGCATCTCCCAAGCCAGCTGTTTACATGACATTGGCTCCACGTAACGACCCATTGTCCAGCCAGAAAGAGACAATGGTGGACTATTATAGTTAATAGAAAGACGTTGGCATTGAAAAGAAAGCCCCAAGTTTGGAAAACTACAAAGGTGGGAGTTTTCCCCACTCTGAGTCACCATGAGTCATCAGGCCAAGAATAAGGGAGTGAAAAAAGGGAGGAAAAGCCTTGTAAAAGCAGGCTTGTGTCTGAGGCTTGGCATCCAGAACTGAAAGCAGAGGTCTGTCTGTGAATATTGGATCCTCTCTGGTACACTGGGAAACTGTTCAGAGGAGAATTTATCTCCTATAGAAGTGTAAAGCCTGAACTTGCATCTTCATGTTTATGTGCTGTGTAACTTGTACATGTTTCCTTTCCCTACACTTTCATCTTTGAATCGGTGAGTTTTCTACTAAATAATTTTTTAAATTAATTTTTACCCCAAGCAGGTCTCTGGTGTGCAAATGTTGTGGAATGTGCCCCCAAGGTGAACTGATAACGGGGGAGGGGCGCTTCGGGAGGGCAGGCTTCACACCCAGAAGAAACGAACCAGAGGGGAAACATCCCAGCATCTGGTAGTTAGGAACTCGGGGTGGATGGATTTGGGGAGACTCAGCCCATGAAAAGATGGGAGTTGCCTTACCAAGTTGGGCGTCAGTGCTAACGAGGCCAATTCAATCAAGGTGGAAGCAGCCTATTCTCAACAGTTGACTAGAAGGGATGAATATCAACAGAGGGAAAATTACTTTTTCTAGTGCTAACGAGGCCAATTCAATCAAGGTGGACATCGCTCATTCCCAACAGAAGGTATGAGTATCAACAAAGGGAAAATTATTTTTTGTAGTGATCCAGCCACTCCCAGTCTTTATTCAGGCCTAATTTGATGGTGTCCAATTTGCAAATTAATTCCAGTTCTGCATTTTCTCATTGAAGTCTGTTTTTG